CTTCCCACCTCCAGGCAACCACTGATTTGCTTTTTGTCACTATAATTTATATTTTTAGAATGTTATATAAATGGATATGTACTCTTTTTTGCCTGGATTTTTTCATTCAGCACAATTATATTGAGATTCATTCATGTCTTTGATTTTTTTTTAAAAGATTATTTATTTATTTATTTGACACAGAGAGAGAAAGATCACAAGTAGGCAGAGACACAGGCAGAGAGAGAGGAAGGGAAGCAGTCTCCCTGCTGAGCAGAGAGCCCGATGTGGAGCTCGATACCAGAACCCTGGGATCATGACCCGAGCCGAAGGCAGAGGCTTTAATTCACTGAGCCACCCAGACGCCCCTCATGTCTTTGATTTTATCAACAACTTGTTCCTTTTCATTGCTGAGTAGTATTCCATTGTAAGGGTGTCCCATAATTTATACATCTACATGTTGGTGGACATTTGGGTTGTTTCCAATTTGGGGCTATTACAAATAAATTTGCAATGAAGATTCATGTACAAGTCTTTGAATGGACATATACTTTTTTCTCTCTTGGGTAAATAAATGCCTAGGAGTGGAATGGCTAGATCATACAGTAGTTATAGTAACCTATGAGTTTTTAAATGGCTGTCTTTCTATAGCTATACCATAATTTTATTTGAATTTTTCTTTTTTAAGAGTGAGAGAGAGAGTGAGTGCCTGCATGTGTACATGTAGGGGTAGTGTTGAGGGGAGGGGCAAAGGGAGAGGGACAGGGAGAGGAAGAATCTTTAGCAGGCTCCATGCCCAGCGTTTCAAAGTTAGAACTTCCATTTGAAGGAGCAGAGCAATAATAATACTTAAACATTTATGTAGAACGCTTCGTCTCAGAAATGCTCTCCCAACATTGGCCAATTAATCTCTACTGCTTCCCTAAGGAGCAGGTATTACTGTCTGCCATTTTTCTAGTTAGAAAATTGAGGAAAGTATGACCAGCCCAGAGAGAGTGAGGGCTGGGGAGATGAGTTTCTGGCCCTTACTATTCTGTGACTCTTCAGGATGCAGCTCGTAGTAGAATGCATCTGGTTTCTGTTCCACTTTGATAAAAATCATCAGTAAAACAAAGATTTAAATAGTAGGTCAGTCTACCTCAGGCTTATAGATACAGCACTTACCCTTGTGAGGCTCACCTTTTGGAAAGAATGGGACCCAGAAAAGATTGGGAAGATCCGCAGCACATTTCATCTGCATTTGCAATGGACAGAACCAAACTTTTTCCAGTGAGAAAAGCAGTCATATGCTTCCCCGCAGCCACAACTTCCACTCTTCCATTATTTTAGCAACTTATAGTTTTCCAGATAAGATTTACTGTGATCTGGGGGCACCTGGGTGGCTCAGTGGGTTAAGCCTCTGCCTTTGGCTCAGGTCCTGTCTCAGGGTCCTGGGATCCAGCCCCGCATCAGGCTCTCTGCTCAGTGGGGAGCCTGCTTCCCCCCCACCCCCCCGCCTGCCTCTCTGCCTACTTGTGATCTCTCTCCATCAAATAAATAAATAAAATATTATTTAAAAAAAAGATTTACTGTGATTGGTGCATTAGAGAGTTGAACAGATCTATTATGCACATTGAAGCCAGAGGAACAGTAAAATAAAACTAGTGAACATTTACATTTTTGGAAATATAATTAATGCATGCTTGAGAAATTCTGAAAGATAAACATTTAAATGTTAAAATACTTACTACCTTCCCCACAGGGACAGTGTTGGGAATTAATGAGATAACAAATGTAAAGTGCTTTGAGCTCTTTGGAAGAAAGGTGCCAGATGCATACAAATGATTATTAATTGTCAAAGCTATCAGATGGTTACTAATATATTACTTATGATAAAATACTTATTATTTTTTTAAAGGTTTTATTTATTTATTTATTTGTCAGAGAGAGAGAGAGAGAACACAAGCAGGCAGAGTGGCAGGCAGAGGCAGAGTGAGAAGCAGGCTCCCCGCTGAGCAAGGAGCCCGATGCGGGACTCGATCCCAGGACCCTGGGATCATGACCTGAGCCGAAGGCAGCGGCTTAACCAACTGAGCCACCCAGGCATCCCTACCTTTTTTTTTTTTTTTTTTAAGATTTTATTTATTTATTTTACAGAGAGAGATCACAAGTAGGCAGAGAAGCAGGCAGAGAGAGGCGGGGAAGCAGGCTCTCTGCTGAACAGAGAGCCCGGTACAGGGCTCGATCCCAGGACACTGGGATCATGACCTGAGCCGAAGGCAGAGGCTCAACCCACTGAGCCACTCAGGTGCCCTAATACTTATTTTTATACCTGAAAAATAGGATGCTTGCAATTCTTAGAATTATATAGCTGAAATAATGCTCCAACTTTTCCCAGGTTACTGTCTGTCTTGTTGGAAGTCCTTTCTTAACCCTTCCCCAGGTTCTTGGCTTTATACCCTTTTTCAAACTATGGGGCATGACTTTCCAGCTTCCAAACTCTCCTGCCCCTTCCCATTGTCAGTCCTCCACAGAAGGATTACAGATCCATCACATGGCAGAATTCTACTGACACCACATTCTCTTATCCTGATTTCTTTGATTACATAATTGTGATGCCTCATGATACTGTCAGTTGTGCATGTTGATTTAGCTGGAAGCATAAGTGAAACTGCCCCTTAAGCAACGCTAGAATTTCTTACAAAAAAGTACAAGTCCCTGGTGTGATCTGGGACAAGTGAATCTGAACTTTCTACTTTACACAACATGCTAGAATTTGTGGTAAAAGAGCAAAGCCCCAATTTCATTTGGTCTTGAGACATGCACTGAGATACCCCCCACTAAATCTTAGTGTCCTGTATGTAAAATGAGAACAGTAGTCATACATGACCACAGTACAGTATACACTTAGCCCATAATAAGTGTTCATTAAAGGTAAATATAAGTAGATTACAGAAGATATAGGTAAGTAGATAGCAGTTTGTCATGAAATATTACCTATTTGGTTTCTTTAAAACAAAAGGAATATGTAAAGGGACATCCTCTTATCAACAAATATTTCATTTTCCTATTTAGAGTAATAAAAGTTCAGTAATTCATCTCAATTAATTTTTGTTTACAATACTTTAAACATTGTACACATATATGTCATTTTTTTTCAAACTTCCCTTAGTTTACCAGTAGCACACCATCTTTGCTACATATATGTGCTAAAAGATATTGGACTATGCTTCTTTTCAAATGTTCTGTAATTAAAACATTTCACTAATTTAATCTGGTCCTCTGGCTTCTTCCACTTAATTACTTGAAGGGATTGTTTCATCATACCAAATTTTTTCCTTTCATTTTGAAGCTGTAGGTTTTTAGGTAGAAAACCTTACTTCTGATTGTTTTCCTATTACGACCTGAATCCAAATGTAAGGCCTCAATTTGCAAACAGGCATTCTGTGGTGTATGCTAATGGGAGATGGAAGGAAGGAAAGTGCATTGTTTGAGAAAACCAATCATGGTGGGTTAAAAAAAAAAAAAAAAAGGTACAGGAGAGTGAACTCATTTTACAATTGCCAGCAGCTTGAGGTTCCAGAGTGCTAATCAAAATTCACATACAAAACTTCCCTGATAGATTTAACAGTTTTGTACTGTTAAGAGGGGTTCTCACCATGTGAAAGATGCTCTGCTGTGCTGAACAAAACAGAGACAGTTTTCTTTTAAAGTCCAGAGCAGATGAGAGCCATAAGGAGACAGAGGGTTTCATTTACTCTCAGGACACAATTGTGCCAGTGAACTAATGAGTCTCTTGGACCTTATGTTGCTCTGGCTCCAATTGAGGAGAGATTCTAATGGGCATGGAGTACTTCCTATCTGTCAAGTGTCTGGACAGTGGGCCCCTCATATGGATTAGAATGATCTGGCAAGAAAAAGAGGTCATCGTTGTACCTAGCCCAGGCAGGAAACCTGGCTAATTAATGTATTTCCGACTATAGCAAAACAAAAGCTGATCCACACAAAAATGCCGACTTTAGGCAGAAGCTCTGAGCTTGCGGCTGAGGCACCGTTAAAAATTATTGAAATTCCATACATAAAACAGTATGCCTAGTTTCCCCAACACATTAAAGTATTTTTAAAGACATAAAGGTTATTCTTGAAAACAACTATGCGATTTTGGTGCTGTGACTTGGGTATTTCACCCTTCTGCAAAGCTGGATGTTCCTGAAATGTCTTGAACAATTGAGAAGGGAATGCCAAGAGTTAGTGTCAGCGCTGCATAATTTTAACAATTTGCACTTTAAAAAGGTACTGTTGAATTATGATTGTATAAATCCTACTGCCGTATTAAATGGAGAATTAGAGGTTACCAATGTTTATTCGTGCTAGAGGGCTCTAGCGATGCTATATATTAAACTAAGAGCAGATACTGCCACCTAGATAAATTCTGATGCCCTCGTTAACTAGCTGTTGGCTTAGCACCTTACTTTTTTGAGAAATGGTAACAACAGACAATAGTGGCTTGGAACAAGGGAAAAATACAATGAATGATAGAGGGTCACTTTAAAAATCCATGTAAATGTAACTTTCTTGGGGAAAAGAAGACCTGTTTTGCCAAATAGCAATGACTAAGACTTTATTCCATTTTTTTTTAAATGCAGAAAATTACTCTTAGAAATAGGAAGAGAAAACTTTATAAGGCATAAACAAAAGCTCCATAATCCTGAAGTTTATAAGGAGGTAGGTGCAGAAGTGATAACAGTAAGACTTTTAACTTTCTTATTAGGTTATTTCTTCCTGAGCTCTGGAAGAAGAAGAGATTGTTTGATACTCTCAAGTAAAAAAGCACACACAGGTTTTAGTTTAATAAGTAAAATAAGATCACTTAATAAATATTTTTTTTTAAAAAGAGCATTACATTATACTCTGTTTTGATACATCTCCTAGCACACAAAACAAACTAACTCCATTCCCACCTTGATTCCTAACAGCAAAAAGAATGTTGCTTTTTTTTGACTCCAGATTGAATTAAAAAATCAGCAATATTCCAGGAGCATTCATTTATCAGGTTTAGAAAGGTTTTTGTCATCTTTGGACTGTTTTAGCTCTTCTTCAAATCTTATTTTGTTTTCCTCTGTTACTCCTAGAATGGCTTCAATGTCATTAATGGCCGTCTGTAAATGAACAAAAAAAGTAATACTCATTACTTAAAGACCTCTTACAACTCTTCCTCCTCACCCCTCACCCCAATTATTTGCTCCTTTTTGGAGTTAAGTATAATTTAGACCAGTTAAACTCAAAGTGTGTTTTGGTAACTAAGACTCATCTACAAATTGTGTCATCAGTCGTGAAATAATTGGGAGTAAAAAAAATTGAGAGTAAGGATTTGGAAACCTTTATAGAAATTTTTATGGCTGCTAAATCAAATGAAAAAAATGGGCTCCTATTTTATAGGTCTTTAATTTTTTTCATTTCATTTTTCTAGTAATTCATGTTTGTTGTATTTTACAAAAGTACTGATCCATGGTAAGTTGGAAAAAACAAAACTTCACTATAGATAATTTGAGAAGCATTGGTCTAGTCATCCAAAAATGAGGGCTAGTAGGCTGATGGGAGTATTTACTTCCATTGGTTTTTTTTCCCATTGGGCAGAAAAATGGCACCTTTCCCTTTTATTTTATTTAACTATTTTTTATTGAGGTACTATTCACATGCCTTAAAATTTACCCTTACAAACAGTTCAACTCAGTGGTTTTTCAGTGGTTCACAAAAAACCATCATTATTATGTAATTCCAGAACATTTTCAGTACCCCATATAGAAACTCTATGCCCATTAGCAGCCTTTCCTCATTTTCCCCTTCCCCTAGCTCCTGACAACTGCTAATCTACTCTCTGTCTCTCTAGATGTGCCTACTGTGGACATTTCATATAAATGGAATCATACCATGTGTGGCCTTTTGTGCCTGGCCTTCTTCACTTAACATAATGTTTTCAAGGTTCATTTGTGTTGTAGTGGATCAGAACTACATTTGCTTTTTATGCCTGAGTAATACTCCATGTTGACTATTATCTATTTTTACCTTGGCTGTTTACACTTTAGGTATCATGTCTAAGAAGGCATTGCTAGCTACAGGGTCATGAAGATTTATTTATACCTGTGTTTTCTTCTAAGAGTTTCATAGTTGTAGCTCTTACCTTTGGGTTTTTTTTTTTTTTAAGGTTTTATTTATTTATTTGACAGGCAGAGATCACAAGTAGGTGGAGAGGCAGGCAGAGAGAGAGGAGGAAGCAGGCTCCCTGCTGAGCAGAAAGCCCGATGCGGGGCTCCATCCCAGGACCCTGGGATCATGACCTGAGCCGAAGGCAGAGGCTTTAACCCACTGAGCCACCCAGGCGCCCCTACCTTTGGGTTTTTGATCCATTTTTATTTAGTTTTTATATATGCTGTGGAGTGGAGGTACAACTTCATTCATTTGTATGTGGATATCTGTTTTCTCCAGCACCATTTGTTTAAAAAACAATATTTTTCCCATCAGATTGCTTTAGCACTCTTGTCGAAAATCAATTGACTATAAATGTATGGGTTTATTTTGGATTCTCAATTTTATTCCATTGAGCTACTTCTATTCTTGTGCCAGTACCACACTGTCTTGATTATTATAGTTTTGTTGTTTGTCTATTTTTAAAAATATTTTATTTATTTATTTTAGAGATGGCAAGGACAAGCGGGAGGGAGGTGTAGAGGGAGAGGGACAAGCAGACTCCGTGCCAGGTGTTGGGCCCAATGCCCCAGCTCAATCCCATGACCCTGAGATCATGACCTGAGACGAAATCAAGGTCAGATGCTTAACTAACTGATTGAGCCACCTAGACACCCCACTGTAGTTAGGCTTTAAAGTTGAGAAGTGTAATTTCTCTTTGTTCATCTTTTTCAAGATTATTTTGACTATTCTGGATCCTTTGCATTTCCATAGGAATTTTAGGATCATCTTGAAAATTTCTGCAAATAAAGCCAGCTGAGATACTGATAGGAATTGGTGTTGAATCCATAGATCTGTCTGAGGAGTATTATTGCCATCTTAACGATATTAAATCTTCCACTCAATTTCTTTAGATCTTTTTTCTTTTATGATGGACAGATCTTGTACTACTTCTGTTAAATATATTCCTAAATATTTTTATACTTTCTGATGCTATTATAAATGGAATTTTTAAAAGAATTTTTAATTTAAATTTAAAATTAAAAAAATTATTTTTGGATCATTCATTATTAGTGTATAGAAATACAATCAATGTCTCTATATTGATCTTGGGTCTTGCAACTTTTCTCAACTCATTTATTAGCTCTAACAGGTTGTTTTTGGGTTCTTTAAGATTTCCTAAATACAGGATCATGTTATTTGTGAATAGAGATAGTTTTACTTCTTTCTTTCCAATCTGGATGCCTTTTATTTCTTTTTCTTGCTGAATTGCTCTGGCTAGAACCTCTAGTACAGTGAGGAATAGAAGTGGTGAAAGCAGACATCCTCCTCTTGCTCCTGATCTTAGGGGGAAAGCTTTTAGTCTTGCACCATTAACTATGATGTTAGCTCTGGGCTTTTGCTAATGCCCTTAACAGGTTGAGGAAGTTCCCTTCTATTCCTAGGTTGAGTGTTTTTAGGAAATATTGTTATATTTTGTTAAGTGCTATATCTGCACCACCTTCCTTTTTTTTTTTTTTTCAGTCTTAGTAAATCCTTCTTTACAGACTGAAGATACTTACTAGAATTACCACTGGGTTGGTAGATAGAAAACATTACTAAAAATGAATCTATTTTACTTTTCACCTGTGGTTTCCAGTTGAGTCCTTTGAGTTGCTTGACCTGTTCAAACATGGTGAAGGCCCACACTGGGAATCAGATGCAGATTTTGGTGATCAGTATGCTATTCACAAAAACAGATGCAATGACCAACGGAACAGAACAGAAAACCCAGAAATGGACCCACAACTATATGGTCATCTAATCTTCAACAAAGCAGGAAAAGAATATCCAATGGAAAAAAGACCGTCTCTTCAACAAATGATGTTGGGAATACTGGACAGCAACATGCTGAAGAATGAAACTGGACAACTTTTTTATATCATACACAAAAATAAATTTAAAATAGATGAATGTGAGACAGGAAGCCATCAAAATCCTAGAAGAGAACACAGTAGCAACCTCTTTGAACTCAGCTGTAGCAATGTCCTACTAGACACGTCACCAGAGGCAAGGGAAATAAAAGCAAAAATTTGGACTCCATCAAGAAAAAAGTTTTCTGCACAATGAAGGAAACAATCAACAAAATTAAAAAAACAACCTATGGAATGGGAGAAGATAGTTGCAAATGACATATCTGATAAAGGAGTAATATCCAAAATCTATAAAGAACTTATCGAACTCAACACCCCCAAAAATAAATAATCCAGTTAAGAAATTAGCAGAAAACATGAACAGACACTTTTCCAGAGAAAGCATTCAGGTAACTAACAGATACATGAAAACATGTTCAACACCACTCATCATCAGAAAAATATAAATCAAAGCTATGATGAGATACCACCTCACACCTGTTAGAATGGCTAAAATTAACAACACAAGAAACAACAGATGTTGGTAAGGATGGAGAACCCTCTAACACTGTTGAGGGGAATGCAAACTGGTGTAGCCACCCTGGGAAACAATATAGAGGTTCCTCAAAAAGTTAAAAATAGAACTACCCTATGATCCAGCAATTGCACTACTAGGTGTTTACCCAAAGGTTAAAGGTTTATGCAAAAGATGCAAAAATACTGATTCAAAGGGGCACGTGCACCCTGATGTTTATAGCAGCGTTATCTACAATAGCCAAACTGTGGAAGGAGCCCAGATGTTTATCAACAGATGAATGGATAAAGAAGATGTGATATATATATATATGTCATATATATATATGGTGAAGATGTGATATATATCACACATATATGTGTGTGTGTGTGTGTGTGTGTGTGTGTGTATACACACACATATATATAACAATATTAATCAGCCATCAAAAAGAATAAAATCTGGCCATTTATAATGACATGGTTGGAACTAGAGTGTCTTATGCTAAGGCAAATAAATCAGTCAAAGACAGACAAATACCATATGATTTCACTCACATGTAGAGTTTAAGAAACAAGACAGATGAAGATGTGGGAAGGGGCATAAACAAGAGAGAGGAAGGGAGAAAGGAAAGCAGACCATAAGAGACTCTTAACAATAGAGAACAAACTGAGGGTCGGTGGAGGGAGGTGGGTAGGGTATGGGCTAGATGAGTGGCAGGCATTAAAAAGGGCATTTGTTGGGCACCTGGGAGGCTCAGTGGGTTAAAACCTTTGCCTTCGACTCAGGTCATGGTCTCAGGGTCCTGGGATTGAGTCCCCTGTCGGGCTCTCTGAGCAGCAGGGAGACTGCTTCCCCCTCTCTCTCTGCCTGCCTCTCTGCCTACTTATGATCTCTGTCTATCAAATAAATAAATAAAATCTTAAAAAAAAAGGCATTTGTTGTGTGATGGGCACTGGGTGTTATATGTAAGTGATGAATCACTAAATTCTATACCTGAAACCAATTTTATACTATATGTTAACTAACTAGAATTTAAATAAAAAATTGAAATTAAAAAAATACCAAGTGTTCATCTCTGTTTGGCTTGTGTTTCAAAAACCCTTGTGTGGATCTTGCTCCTGTTTTCTTGCTTTTGTTCATATTTCTACAGTTTGGAGACTTTTGATCAATTACACACAACTAGCTTTCATGGTCCAACATCTTTAAAGGCCATTTGGAAGCTTCAAACAGATTAGTGATGAAATTTCTGCCCCAAATTGGAGAAACAGTGTGTGGGGTACATGGCCCATGTCTGCGCTGAGGGCTTTTTCTATTTCTCTCTTCTCCACATTATCTTTCCTGGGGTCTCAGAACTCCTCTGGTCCTAGAAATGTGGCCTCCCCAGGAATCCTTGGCCAGATACTGCGTTATCTGCAAATAAGTAGGTTACATTCAGGGTTTTTGGTGGTGACTGTCTCTGTGTTGGTTTCATTGTGACACTTCAGGGTCACCTCTGATCTCAGAGAGCCGTGTTGTTTTGTAAACTGGGTTTGGAAATGGCAGCAACTTAAAACAAGTCTATTATATTTCAAAGAAAAAATTTCAAACTATTAAATTTAACTAACAGGTTCAGTGGGAACCTTATAATATTGACCCTGTGCATTATAAGATATGTACTGCTTCACAATAAAAAAAAATGGTTTAGCACTTGTTTACAATACAGCATGAGGTATTTTCAGTCCTTGTATAGAAATTAACCAGAATCGTTAGTTAATTAACACCTCACCTTAAAATTGGTCTCGCCTTGCATATTAGGTGCTGATATTTCTTGATGGATGATGAAGAGATTTCGAGCAAAGGTCATGAGGACCCCCTGGAGATCTTCACCGATTGTTCTGTTAATGATATCCAAACAAATGAGTTTACCAACGATTCCCCTCACATGCTTAAAAACAATCACCCTCTCATTTGTGCCTGTCTGGTGGTGGAATTTAATGAGTATTTTCAATCTCACAAGGTGGCAATCTTCAGGGAGGTATGAAAGATGAGGCTCCATTTTAACTTGTCAACAAAGAGGATTTGTGTAATAAATATTTTTTATTAATCAACTTAGCAGAATATAAGAATAGCTTCAGTCATTCCTAGCGAAAGGCTACCACTGAGCTAGGACGGTAGTATTAGCTCATTTAAAAAACTGTCGAGATCGGTGTATAAGAGAATTGTTGCTACGTATAATTTCTACCTGACAATTTCCTTGCCTACAGAGATATCTGCACCTCGGTATCCCAGAGACTTTTGTCTGGGGCTTATTTTCTATTTCATGTATGCAAGTAATTCCTGCTATGTATGAGTCTGCCCCATCCGTGTTCCTAGGAGAATGTGTCCCATGCCTGAACAGCCAGCTTTATAAAGCCGAACACACACTCGAAGGTTTCAGAGACAACTTGCAAACCATCCTGTAGAATTTCACTGTGGCCAGTGAACATTTCCAAATGACAAGACTGTTGGAAGTTGTAGCTTTGAAACAAAACTGCAAGGTATTGCTTCTAGTTATTTTGTGAACTTTCCGTAGCAAAGGGGAAAAAATGGATTAAGTGAATGGATTGAATTTTAAGAATTGTTCTGTCTTGAGGGTGTGAAACTAAAGAGCTCTCCCTTAAGGCAGCTTCAGAGAACTTTGGATTACTTGCTTCCCAGTTGTTGCCTATAAATAAGTCATTTTAGAGTGTAAGCCTTCAACACTCCCAATGACGGCCTTCCAGCCTGACTGGGCTTTCCCGTAGGTCAGGCTGGGAGCAGAAAGCATCCCAGGCCCCAGGCAGGAGACTGTTTGTCCTGCCACTGGCAGTGTGACCTTGGGGGGAAAGCTACTTTAAGATCTCTGGGTCTTCATTTCTTTTTTTCTGAAATGAAGGAGTTGGGCTGGATTAGTGCTTCCATACTTTTGGAGTTGCAGTCCTCAAATCCAAGGACTGCCCACCCTTCTCACAGTTACCCAATGTTAGCTTCTATTGCCTCTTTTAAGAGAATAATAGCCAAAGGCAACTTCAGAGTCAACAATTTTTAAAGTGATTTATTTTATTTATTTTTACCCTTTATTGCCACAGACTCAGTATGTTGGTATATATTAGACCCTGGTGCCCCCCACCCTTTTTTTTAAGATTTTATTTATTTATTTATTTGACAGAGAGGTAGAGCCAGAGCGTACAAGCAGGTGGAGTGGCAGAGGGAGAGGGAGCAGCAGGCTCCCAGCTGAGCAAGGATCCCAGGACCCTGGGAACATGACCTAAGCCAGAGGCAGATGCTTAACCGACTGAGCCACCAGGTGCCCTAGACCCTGGTGCTTCTTAAAATAGCAGATTCCCAGGCTCTACCTCAGATCCCCAAAATCAGATTCTTTGGGTTTGGGATTCAGGAAAGTATAGTTTCACGTAGACCCTCAGATGATTCATATATATACATATATATATGATTGAGGCCCATATTTAAAAAGATGTGTGTGTGTGTGTGTGTGTGTGTGTGTGTGTGTGTGTGTGTATGATCCTGGATCCACACATGGATTCATGCCTCTATTGTCATCTCTCCTTAGCCTCCTGGGGTCCATGGTCCCCAGGTTGTGAACCAAGCAGTCAGATGGACTCTAAGTCCTCTTCCCTATTAACTCATTTCTAGAATTTCCTTCATTTTTCCTTCCTTGAAATTTCTTCTCTAATTCTGCTATTGCCAGAAATATACTAGTATAAACAGAGTCCATATGAAGTTATCCTGGCAAAGCCAGACTGCAGAATTCTCTTCTGTAAGGTCATCACTCTTGGTGCCCTCCCCTTTCCTAAAGAAGTGGGTGACTAATATCTTCCCCTGAGGTGAACCGATTGTAAGGAAGCCAAACAAAGCCCAGCTAGCTCAGGAAAAGCCTCTTCTAAAAGCTCCACAGAGAAAATCAACACAAACAACACAAAGAAGGAAAGTTTGTATTTGTTCATCTTTTTCTCTTTCAATATGAATTCTAGAAAACAAAGACTCTCCCCTGGTCATTGTCTACTAACTCATCTGTTCTCAACCTCCATGTCCACAAGTCTGAGCCACTCCTGATGTGCTAACTGTAATTCCACTCATCTATCACACGGTCAAGGAAGTACAGCTACATGCAAATGAGAATTTCAGGGATAATCTTGAATCCTACCTAATACTCAGAAGAAGTAAATTAACAAACTTGGGACAAACTTGCACAGGTAGTGATGCCCTTCACAGTAAAGAGAGAACCTCTTCCATAATAGGGTTCCCCATGTAAGGTGGCCATACAGTGTTGGTAAAGCACACTAGATTCAGTGTCCAGAGACACAAGCTACTGTGTGACACTGGTAAACCACCTCCCTGCTTGAAAACCCAGTTTCCTTTCTACACTAGGAGAGTCAGTTAATCCCCAGGGTCCTTCTTAGCTCCAACATTCCCTGGTTCTGTGACTGCAGGAAGGGATGAGAAAGATGAGATAGAAAATAGCAGACAACACTCTAGACTCTTCAGGAGGCCCATGTTGATCAACAGTGCCCTTTTCTATAGGTGAGTAGCAGTACCATCTAGAAGGTACAATATTAGGACTATTGCCACCACCAAAGGAGCCTTCAGGTAAAGGCATTCCTGCTTGAACTCTCAGGAGCAGGTGTAGGGATAGTTGGGCGAGCTCCTCTTCGTCACTGGCCCAATTATTCATTCTGTAAGCTTCAGCATCAAACCAACTTTGCTGCTCAATCAGTTTGATGAGTGGGGAGTTCCTTTTTCATATAAGTCTCTTCTGTCTCCTAAATTCCCTGATGCTGTCGTCTTGCCTGGTTCCTCTGTGCCCAAGTACCCTCCTGGATAAGTCTTCCTGTGGCCCATACTGTGGGAACTCTGCCTCTGCCCTGTTAACACTATCCCCATCTCATCCTGTTAGTTGCAGGACACAAGTTCTGCTTCTGCGTGTCAGCCTCTGGTGGGTTTTGCCACCTGCTGGCAGGCTTTCCTCATGCCATCCTCTTGCTGGCCTGGATCTGTAAAAGCAGCCTCCTCTTTGAGTTCTTATGGTCGTGCTCCCCCCAACTCACTCTCTGGATATCCTTTCACTCTTTGCAGTTGAACTTTCCTGCTGCTGTGAGCTGGTCGCTCCTTGGGATGATCTCCTGGCATGTGAACTCCTTCACTGTGTGATTTCCCTGGCTGCTCTTCTCCCAACACCTGAAGGGTCCTGTCCCTCCCAGCCTCATTCCAAGCACATGAGGGTTTGTGTCATTCCAGTCCTGGCCCAGCTTGTTCTTTGCAGTTTACCTTTCATGCCAGCCAGTACCTGGTAGGGTAGGGCTCATGTCTCTGTGTTCTGATTTCTAGTTCTTGTACTTAACCATCCCATCTGTCTGAATTCCTAAACTTAGACATGTACTTGGACCTGGAACTTTACCTGCTTAATTAGACTCATAATTCTGGAAAATACAAAGTTCTTATCCTCCAGCTGGTCAACTTTAAATCCATTGACTGCCTGGTTCTCCCACTCCCGGTAACTGCCTGGTGGCCTGTGTCCTGCCACAGCCCTGGACATATTAACTCATTTACTTATTTACGGACTGTCCATGAGGCACCCCATCAGCTTCATGAGAGCAGGGACTTGTCTTTGGTTCACTGCTATATGCCTAATGCTTAGAACTGTGCCTGGCATGGTTGATAAAATGCTTTTGAATTTTCTGGTAGTGAAGGTAGGGCAAGGAGGGAGCTGATGGATAGAACATCACTGGGAAGCAAAGGGTAGCTCCTTCCTTGCACATGCACAGAGGTGTTCCTGGCCCTGCTCTCCTCCTGGAGGTACATATTCAGGCAGAGAAGATGCATGTATACTTTTTGGGGTGTTCTGTCTCATTCCTGTTGCTCTCCTGGCAGTATAAAAAAAGAGTGGGAAAGAGAGGCTAAAATAACAATGAAGGGACTCTTCTGACATGACCCCGTACATTTTACATGCTTATGGGACCTTGGGGGAAGGGGGGTACTGAAGGGGATGACTCAACCAGCCAGGTCTCCACCCAAGTGAAGAGAAGCATTGAAGACTGTGAATACTAGATTAAGCTATTAGCCACATTCTGGCTACAAACGCAGAGGAAATCAAAACATTAGCATGAGTTCAAAGGGATGGAGGAGGCCGAGTTCAAAGGGATGGCTGCTGTAATGGACAGTGCTGTGGTAAAACAAAGGACCACACTTTGGAGAAGGGAATTGAGACCTGTCCTGTGCACATCTTTGCCCATTTCAGTGTGCAGCTCTTGGGACCAGTTTCTAGGGGACTGATCACCTAGGGGACACCGAGGCTATTCAGGACATTGATGCTTAGTGGAGGAATTGAGTTTGGTGTTCTTATTTGAGTTTCATGGTGTTTCATGAGACCATTACATTAATGTGTGTGTAATGTGTGTAATCCTTTCAATGTGAGGCCACAATGCCTACACTAGTGTAGAAGTCAGAAGGAAGAAAAATACAGGGCAAATGGTTTCCCAGTAAGTTAATTTAAAGGTGTCCAAAGGCTATATTCCAAGATATGAAGTAAGATTGTACAGTCTGAATCCTAGATCAGAAGACAAATTTGCTAGCTCTCCAGATTATGCTGGGGAGAAATTTGCAGGACATAGGAAACAGCAGCCTCCTGAGTGCTGCTAGCAGGACTCTTCTTAGCATACATGCAACGGGGCTGAAATTGGAGCTGAGGAGGGGCTATGGACCCTGCTTTTGGGGGAACATCTTGCCAAGTCACCAGAGCACTTTGCTAAGCATGCCAGAATGACAACTGCCCTTTTAAATATGGGTGTCTGAACCTGGTCCTCCTCAGTCAGGTTTATTGTGACTTATATGTGTATGTGTTTGGGTGTAGTATGTTGTTGGAACTAGCCTCTTCCCCATCAATTCTGGATAATTAATCGGTTATATTTATGAACCCCCACTGACACATCTAAAGTCATTTTATGAAATGCTTGAAGATCTAAATAAAACAAGATAGACTTCTAATAAATCAGCATGCTGATTAAAATGCATGAGAAGCATCATTCTTACTGGTTGTTATGGTCTATTTTTGTAGCTTATCACATCTCATAGACACACTTTATACTCACAACATTCCCAACTTGTCTCTCTTCACGTGTTCATATAATATAAAAATAGTTCCTTGTTTGTCCTAGAAAATTTGAATGGGGAGAAAAGAAATAGCTTGTTATCTTAGAAGCAAAGAAAACATACTGCACCAAGACCACTAAGACTGACGGGAATTAAAATCCAGAGCTACCTTCAAATATTGTGAAAACCACATTTGGAAAATCTGTCTCCAGAATATAGAGTAGATATGTTCTGGGACAGTATTGTTAATTGAGATATAATTCATATATAACATTGTATAAGTTTAAGGTATACGATGATACCTCAATATGATACATTTATATATTGTGATATAATTACCATTGTAGCCTTAGCTAACACTTCTATCACATTCTATAATTATCATTTCTTTTTTATGGTGATGACATATAAGATCTAGTCTCTCTGAAGTTTTGAAATATATGATACAGTATTGTTGACTATATGACTATGCTCTGCATTAGATCCCCAGAACTTATTTATTGACTAGTTGCAAGTTTGTACCCTTTAACAGTATCTCTGCAATTCCCTTACTTCCCATCCTGATCACCACCATTCAACAATTTCTGAGCTCAGCTTTTTAGTTCCAAATATAAGTGATATCATACACTGTTTGTCTTTGTTTGGCTTATCTCACTTAGCATAATGTCCTCCAGGTCCACCCATGTTGTTGCAAATGGCAGAATTTCCTTCATTCTCATGATTGAATGATATTCCGTCATAAATACACACCACATTTTCCTTGTTGATTCATCTATCGGTGGACACTTAGGCTGTTTCTATGTCTTGGTTCTGGTGAGAAATGCTGCAGGGAACATGGGGGTACAGATATCTCTTTGAGATACTGATTGGCTTCCTTCAGATAGATGCCCAGGTGTGGAATTGCTGGATCATATGGTGGTTGTATTAGCAGTTTTTTGAGGAACCCCTACACTGTTTTCCACAGGGGCTGGGCCAGTTTGTATTCCCACCAACATGCCCAAGGGTCCCCTTTTCTCCACATCTGTGCCCAAACTTGTTATCTCTTATCTAGGCCAATGTTTTTTTGAAATAGGATCCTCAGAGTACCTGCATCAGAATCATGTAGTGTGCTTGTTAAAAGGCATTTTCTTTCTTTTCTTTTCTTTCCTTTCTTTCTTTCTTTCTTTCTTTCTTTCTTTCTTTCTTTCTTTCTTTCTTTCTTTTTCTTTCTTTCTTTCTTTCTTTCTCTTTCTTTCCTTTTTAAACATTTTAAAAATTTATTTGACAGAGAGACACAGCGAGAGAGGGAAAACAAGCAGGGGCAGAGGGAGAGGGAGAAGCAGGCTTCCTGCCAAGCAGGGAGCCCAATGTGGGGCTCCATCCCAGGACCCTGAGATCATGACCTGAACCGAAGGCAGAGGCTTAAAGACTGAGCCACCCAGGCACCCCCAAAAGGTATTTTCATAGGCATCATCCAAACTCAAGATCTTTGGGAGGGAATCTGACTTTTAGCTCACTTCCTGGGTGATTCTCTAGCAAATCAAAATCCAAAAATCACTATTCTGAGCACAACAGGTAAAGATGCATAGGGAAACAATTTTTTGTGTGTGGAAAGTAATTCATATTTTAACAGAAAACTGTATGTGGTCTGTGGCACACCCTACTGCCTCGATTCTATGGGAAATATTTACAACACTGTAAGTCCCAAGTGACTGAGAGACAAATACTCTGCAGTCTGGGAAAGGTTCAGTTGATTTTTCTCACCTGCTCCCCTTGTGGAAAAACCAGTTTTCTCTCTACCTGCATATCCATTTCAGTATTCCTGACCTATAAAAATGTCTGAGTTTTTTGGATTCTTTTTTGTACTGGTGATAACATCTGTCTCATTTCTCTGTTAAGCAAAATATCATGTTTTTATTTTTGCATCCATATGAGAGGCATGATTTTATCCTTTTTTGAAAACTATCTTTAAACCGTTTTCTCCAAATAAATAAAAAGTTAACACTGGAGTTGTCCAGTAGTGGAAATGGCTGCCTTGTGAAGTCGTGAACTCCTCATCACCGGAAGTCCAAAAAATAACTGTTTTTGAGATTTGGTTAAAGAAATTACATGCCAGAATTAAGACTACTTATTGACTCCTCGCTTTGTCAGGAAACATGGGCATTAGGACAGACATTGGATTAGAACAGTGGCTCTCAATGCTGGCTGCACATTAGAAACATCTGAGTGCTTTAGAAAATATAATGCCTGAGCCCTACCTCTAGAAATACTGGAGTGAGTCTGAGGTACAGTGTCATGCTGAGCCGTATTTGAGCCCAAGGCAAAGGAAAAATTAGTATGCCCTAATTTAAAATTATGATATTTTGTTGGCCATGGATTTTTTTTGCATTCATTTTGATTTTTAAGATAATGCCTTACAATATTTTTATCTTTATTACAGAGTATTTTTTGTGCTCCCTTAAATTTTGTGCCCTGAGTATGGGCCTCACTTGCCTCATCCTAATCCCAGCCCCGCTTGGCCATCCGTACTTTTTAGAGCTCCTCACTTAAGGCAGTCTAATGGGCAGCCAGGGTTGAGAACCACTGACTAGTTGATCTGTAAGGTATCCTGCATCCGTTTCTGTGTTGCCCAGTATGGTAGCCACTAGCCACCTGGGGCTACTGAAAACTTGAAATGTGAATAGTCCAAATTGAGATGTGCTGTAGCTTTCGAAGTCTGAGTACAAAACATGTAAAATATGCCATTAGTAACTTTTATACTGAGTACACATTGAAACAATATTAGTTTTCTGTTTGGGGAACATCCTTTCTTTGATACTGATTTCTGAATCAATCAGATAGGCTAGTCGTGATGCTGCAAAAATTTAAAAAAACCGACTCAGTTCTTAGTTGTTTATAACATCAGCTGTGTGATTCTTGCTTGTGTCTCATTTCCCACATGAGCTGGTATGGGTCTCTGCTCACTGTTGGCACACTCAGCGGCCTAGGCAAAGGAAGCTCCATCTCAGTGTGCTTCCGTGATTTCCAAAGCAGGAAAAAGGACATGATGACTCTTGAAGTGACTCTTGAAGCTTCTACACAGAAAGGATCTGTATCACTGCTGCTCACAGTTCAGGCCCAAGTAAGATATACGGCCATACTTGACTTCAGGGAAGGGCTGAGGAAGTATAAGTCTGGTATGTACCTAGAAGGAGGAGAATCCGAACATTTGTGAACAGCACTAATGATCGCCACCGTGGCAGTACCCTGGCCTGAGGAAATGATCGTTGGTGGTTATGGAGCTATTTAGGACCATGGCACACTGCCTATATGTGTGTGAGACCAGCCCTGCCCCACACTGTCGCAGGCAGTAAACATGACACTTTTCTCCGTATGGCTTTCATTACAACTTCATTTCATTAGGAAATCAGTGGGGGTATTCTGTCGCATTACAGAAATACCAAGAACGAGACCCACCAAATTGCTTACAAACTCCGTAATGCTTCCTTCCAATATTCAGCAAGGAAAATACACTTGTGAGGTGATCTCATTTCCCTTTTTTCCCCTTCAGAGTTTGGATGAGAAACATTGGAAATTCTGTGATCATAATGGAAAGAAAGACATAAATGTCGAGAACACGGACTTTTGAGGATTCTTTTGGTAGCATTGACAATGATGTATTGCTAATGTTGCTTTTTTTTCTGGAAGGAGCACCCACATTAAATCTGACCAAGAATGGCAGTGGGTAGCAGAGGCTACACTCATCTTTTTAGACATAGCATAACTCATGGAGGCAGTAACGGTTTAGAGAAGTTAAGTATTAAACATAGCTTTTCCCCCTCTCTTTTGTAAGGTGAACAGACTTGGGGGTTAGAGAGATGTTTGTGCTCCTTAAGCTGAAGAATACATAAGGGGTACCTAGATTAAATAGTTATTTGAAATCATTCCCATCATTCTTGGACTGGATTGGTAATAATATTTTAGAAGTACAAATAGTTCTTAGGGGAAAAAGATACATAGGGACACCCTTGGTGTAAGAGCATCATGTCTGGCTTAATGGATTCAAATGTTAGTTCCACAAAGTGCCTGGCTGTGTGATCTTGGGAAAGTGCTGACACCATTTGAGCCCAAATTCCCCAGTATAATTTGGGAGAAATAATAGCTTCCTACAGAAGAGATGGGAAGGTTGAGGAGGTAATGAAGTTAGTGCTTCGCTTGGTGGCCAGCACATAGTGGGTGCTCTGAAAATGCTGGTTTATCATTTGTCTCTCCAGGAAAAGGCAGTAAAGGAAACAAGAGGACAGTTCAGACCAGGGGCAGACAGACCCTGGGATCTAAAAAGACGAGAGCCCATCTCAGGAAAACTGGAGCAAGGATATTGTTGGAGAATTTCCAATGACTCCTTTCCCTCACCTTAGAGTTTTAGGACGTCATGTTTTTCATCTCTGACTCTTTTCTTATACTTTCTTTTTATTGTTTGTTCTTTTTCTCTTTGACCCCAACTCCCCCTTTTGGTGGATTCTTCCCATGTTTAGATTTTATCCTCTCTTTTCTTCTTCATATTTTTCTGTCCCACCATTGCCCCCAGTCCATATTTCTCTTTCTTCCCCATTTCAGCTCTCATCCTTTGTGGGGTGTGTAGCACAGGTGACCTGGAGACAGAGCCAGTCATGTTGTGGGCATCTCTTTGCCCCTTTCTGCCATTCTCCTCACCTTCAATGGAGCCCCTCTCTGCACCATCCGCTGATCCCCTGGGGTCATAGTAGTCTGTTTTTTTGTACTAAACTTTGTTCTTAGAAATGAATCTGGTTGACTCAGAGCCACAAAGATGTCAATAGCATATAAAATTTGGTGCTTTACTTTCCCCAGAAATACTAGAAACTTCAATCAAGTAGAAAGCTTATAGCCAAAGAAATAAATCTCTAATAATAATCTCCGGCAATAGGAGGATATTTTGGAGGAGGATATGGAGGATATTTTCTTCTGGGAAGGAGACTTTCCCTGCCAAATATGCCTATTCACAGAACTTGTTCTGCTTTAATATTTTCAAAGAAGATGAAATAAAATAGATTCTAAGAAAGCTAATGTTAGATTTAGCCACCTTCTGGCATGTGGAAGTGTTTTGGTCTAATCAGTTTGCAGCTAAAAACTATTTAATTCCAAAAGGATTCTGTAGAGCAGATGTAAAAATTAATTTCAGGTAAATCAGTTCAATATGGTTTTTTAATTCTTTCTTATATTTTACCAATTTTAACATAATTTGTAAGGGAATATGAGCTCCATTATATGTATTCGCAAACAGCGTGAATCAATCTAATCCAAGAGTCTTAACGCATTCTGGCGGTGTCCTGCAGTGTGGTGGGGATTGCCTGGTGGTAGTTGGGCCAATCTATTCACTGTTGACCTCATGCTTAAGGTCTACATGCTTTTCAAGAGCCTATAAAAGGAATTGATCCCCCCAAAATTGTATTTGTTCTCAAGTATGAGAAATGAAAAGTAATAAATATAGAACTGAATGTTGGCAAATTCTCAATTGCTCAATTCTGTCATTACTTACAAATGACTTTTAATATGAGAGGTGACTATATTTGAATATGTGTGATGTCATGTGGAATGGGTTTTCCACAACCAAGAGCATGTGGGTCTCTCAGGTCTCTCTCAGGTCCTCTCAAGTCCCTCTCTCTCAGATAGAGAGAGAGGGAAGCAGGCTCCCTGCTGAGCAGAGAGCCCGACATGGGGCTCGATCCCAGGACCCTGAGCCAAAGGCAGAGGCTTTAACCCACTGAGCCACCCAGGCACCCACACCTGTATTTTTAAAATCAGAACTCCTCCTGGGAAGAAACTGCTATATGGAGGTAGAAGGATGCCATGAACTGAATTGCTTGTCCCCCCGATTCCTAGGTTGAAGCCCTAACCCCCATGTGACTGTATTGGAAATAGGGCGTTTAAAGCAGTGAGTGAGGTTAAGTGAAGTCATAGGGATGGGCCCCTGTTCCAGTAGAACTGGTGTCCTTATTAGAGATTTCTCTCTCTCTCCCTTGGCCACGTTGGGGCACAGTGAGAAAGTGGACATCTACAAGTCAGAAGGAGTGCACTCACCAGGAACCAAATTGTCTGGGTACCTTTTCCTTGGACTTCCCAGCCCCCAGATTGGTGAGAGATAAATTTCAGTTGTTTAAGCCATCCAGTCTGTGGTGTTTTGTTATGGCCACTCAAGCAGACAGAAACAGAGGATATTCACTGATAAGTAGCTTTGAGTGGGGCCTGGGAACTCAGGTCATGCTTCAGGATCAAGAGATGTTCCCCAAATGTCTCCTAAGTCTGGTGAGCTACAGGGCTTTTGCTTGACCAAGGTGGGTGTGCATGTTGGGGACCGAGCTGAACTTCCCAGGATCCAGCGCCACTACACCCCCCCCCCCCCCAACCCTCCCCCTCCCCATGGAGCTGCCTGTTTACCCTCCCCAGGCCGCACTCAGCCTTCCTCTAACTACAGGTTAAACTAATTTTTCAAGAATATCTGTCTGAAGGAACACTGAGTTACTCACTGCCTAGATCACCAACACCCCCATCCCCCCTGTCAGCCATCAGCTTCATACCTCAAAGTCATAGCCAATGCCATGGGCCTTACACATTTGGAGGAAGACATAGTGGAAAATGAGCGAGAGATTGTTGTGCTTCAGCTGGGTACTCATCACTGCATAGCGAATGGTGGCCCGGGACTGGAAAAGACCACAGCTGCACATAAGACTCTTTACAAACTATTTCAGTCAACTCTTAACTTTAGGAAAGTTGTAGATTAACAGAAAAGTTGTGAAGATAACACAAAGGGCTCCTGTTCCCCTCTGGTTAACATTGTGCCACGTTTGTCCCAGGAGAACACTCATTAATCAGACCTCCTCACTGCTGTTAACTGAAGTCTGTTTTTTATTTGGATTTCATTCATTTTTTCCTCACTCCCTTTTTCTTTTCTATGATCCCACCCAGGATACCGCATTGTATTTAGTTGTCATGTCCCCTTCGGTCCTTTTGGGCTGTGATGGTTTCTCAGACTTTCCTTGTTTTTGCTGATCTAGACTGTTTCGAGGAGTGTGGATCAGGTGGTTTGTAGAAGGTCCTCTGTTGGTACTGTCTGATGTTTTTCTCCTGATGAGACTGGAGTAATGTGTTTCTTGAGAAGAGGCTTACCACAGGATCACCTCAGACCAAGGGTACATATACATGACTTACCATTGACGATGTCAATTTTGATCTCACCAAGGTCGGTTTTGCCAGGCTTTTCACTGTAAAGGTACTTTTACCTGTTTCTGTACTATACTCTTTGGAAACCAGTCACTAAGGAGAGTCTGCCTTCCTGAGAGAGAATTTTGATGCCAGTTGCTTTCTTTGTTTGAGAAAGTGCTATTCTTTATCTTGCTTGCCGACCGGTGGGAGCTAGCCCAAAGAGACTGGTTGTTAGGCCTGAAGTATTTCAATTATAGCATTTCCTAAACATTTAAAATTGAGTACGTACAAAAGAAAGTATTGGATCCTGGCTATTTTGTAGCGTGTCCTTTGTGAGAGGTGATATTTGTCTTTGAAAATCAGCTACATTTATTCTTGGAGAACTGGATATTTTGAGAACAGCCTGTAGGGCCATGATCAACCTTGAGATATAGAAAGTGAAGGTGCCTGGCCCAGATTTTGAACTTTGGGGGCCCTTGGGTGTGGGAGCAACCAGGTGCTTGTCCTTGTGCAGTGTCTTGGAACAAGAGAAGGAAAAGGAGGTTCTGTTGGTCTACAGCAGGCTGCAAGGATCATAACGGCCTGACGTTGTCTGTTGTGAAATGTTAAGGCCTTGCCCTCTCTATCTCTGATAATGCAAGAAACTGGGGCTGACCGAGTGCCCAGGAGAGGATGAACATATTTACCTGCCTATATAACACATACGCATACACACACTCTTTCACCTTCTCTCTCTCAGATTTCACATTTGCCTTCTGTGACTTATTTCCTCCCATACACTATCTTTTCCTTCAACACTTGCGGAAAATACTGTGTCTAGTGGTCATGTTTTCAGTACTGTTAAGCCTGTTCTTCCCATGTATGGGCAGAGTCCAGATCTATAAAGATGTTAGGCTCCCACGGGCTAATGCATCTTGAGCTGTACATCTCCATTAACATTGTCCCATTTGTAGCCACTGAGTATTTTACTTTTGCCAAAGAAAATCTACTTAACCTTCACATGCCTCACGACTGTACTTTGTTACCCCTCTGACCTATCATGGATTATTCTCCTGGCTGCCTCCCTGACATGACGGGAGTTATCTGAAGAAGGCAGGAACTGCTTGGTTCCCAAATCGCCAGGTTGGATGTAATGTCCCACAGAACAGGCGTTCAGTGTTTCCTGAATGAAAGAAAGAACGGGTGGATGCATACAGTAGGGTATGTCTAGAGCTCTTGCCTCTGACAGAAGAGGCTCTTCAGATGTAATTCAGGGGATGTCGCGTCAGCGAGTGCTTTGGGGCAGAAGCAGGCCCTAGAGAATGACTGAAAATCCCCAGAGAATAATAGCTCAGGGCAGTCATTTCCAGGCCTGGTCCCCAGTAGACCATCTTTTGGAGGACAGTGTAGCTTTGGTGGATGTGGTGGGGTTATTGGTGGGGTAATGAGAACCCGCTAAGAGAAGCGCTGGCTCAGCAGTTCAGTCAGCGTGAAGGAGCGTGACCACCAGGCTTGCTGGCCCTCTCATGACAGGCTGCGCCACGTTCCTGCCTTCACAATGAAGGCCCAGAAGCCTGAGCTTTTGCATATGGAAGTGAACTGTAAATACTCTGGAATTCCATTGTGGTTACTGAGCATGTAATTGCGTGGTGATTACCATGAATTCACAAGATAATTCCAAGGTTATTTTTGTCTTTTAAACTTGTCTTATGCTGCCATAGGATATAAACTAGCAAGCCCCAGACTAGACCCCAGTCAGCCAGGGAGAGAGGTAGACAGGCCTCTGGCAGCGGGAGCAGCCCATCGCTGTGTATCTTGGCTCCAAAGCACGGCAGAGAGCTCACTGTCTAGTGTTGCCGGACAAGTAAGGGCAGGCTATCCTGAGGTTTCTTCCTCTCTACAGAGACAGACTACTACTATTTTCCCTCCTCCCAGACCTGGGGTTAGGATTCATAAAGAGTCTAAGAGAAAAGCCAGGATATTTAGTCCGTGTTTCCAGGCTGTATCCTTTCCACTACCATCGCCATCCCACTGCAGAGCTTTATGGCCTGGATAGCTGCTTCTCCTTCCTACTTGGGAGGTGGGGATGCAAGCAGAATTCTGTGGTGGAAAAGTTATATGGAGTCAGAAAGACTGAAGTTCAAAACCCGACTGACCTTGAGTGTGTCACTTAACTGCTCTTTTAGTGACTAAATAAGCACCTAGCACAGCATCCGGCACCTGACAAATGGTAGCTATAAATACTGTTGGTCTTTCTTTGAAAGCATCGATAGGGCCCGAAGCATTTGGGGCCTCCACTAAATGTAATTTCCCAGGCTCTTCCTTCCCCTGCTGGTACCTGGATTCCGAGCATTATCCCAAGATTGTTTCTCAGACCCAGGTTGGTCAGTGCTCGGAACTCTTCAGTGTCTCCTCCTTGCCTTCAAGATGAAATTCAGACACGTGGCTTGGTGTGCAGACTCTCCCACACTGGCTTGGGGGATTGCTCCAACCACTTTCCCCACTTCCTCCTTCCCAAAGTCTCTGCCCCAGCCCACCTGGTTCATGGCTAGCTCCTCACAGACCATGGACTCTCCTGCTGGGGAGGTCTCCTTTCCCTCGCCACTTAGTGACTGCCCCAGTCTGTAAGGCTAGGCCAAGTTCCTTCTCTCTAGTAGAGTGTCCCCTGTCCCTGCCAGTCCCAGTTCACAGTCGTTTCTCCCAAGAACTCTGGCTGCACGTTGAAGGGCTATCACTCAGTGGCGCTGAAATAAGACCTTGTGGTTTTCCTTATGTATGTGCTCTCTACTTTAGATTTCCTTTTCAAGGACAGAGACTTTGTCAAATGTCTTTGTATCCCTGATGCTTGGTGAAATTCCTGGCTTATGGTAAGTACTTAGTAAATGTGTTATAATGCCAGTGAGGATGACCATATGTGATACACCTACTCTTTTTAGACTTAACCAACTCCACAGTTCCTACAGGAAAAAACTATTGATAGTCTAGGTTTGTCTTTTATTCAATAGCACAGGTGTGACAGTGTTGTTGTGAGGATTAAATGAGTATCTAAAGACCTTAGAACAGTGTCTGACACAGAGAAAACAGTCAAAAAAATGCTAGTGCTTATTATCACTTGCTAAACAAAATAATTTCACAAATCAGGTAAGTTACTTAAAAACCAACAGACCTTTTCATCAGAAAGGGCCTTGAATCAGGATGCTTGTGCTTTGCTACTTACTGAACTTTATGACCTTGGGCAGTTCACTTAACTTTGCATAGCCTCAGTTTCCTAATCTTTAAAATGGGTATGATAATCGTGTCTTATCTATTCCTTGGGGGTCATGATGGGGTTCACATAAGCTCATGTCAATTTAAAGGATTAAAACATTACGCAAATAGAAAACATTTTTTAAAAGGTTGACTGGTGTAATCAACTCTCTTCTGATGCTATAAAGTCCATTTAGGTTTGGGAAGGAAATCACAAACCTAGATGGATTTTACAGCAAGAGGAGACTCCTCTGTGACCATCTGGCCCTTCCAGTGCTGTGTCTTGGCCTAGCTCAGAGCAGATTACAAGCCAGTGGATAATGGCCGTGTGCCTGGAAACAACCTCATCACAGAGGGAGATGAAGCCTCCTTTGGGAGAAGAGCTTTCTCTATGGCCTGAACCAGAGACTTCTTCAGGGGTGAGCCTAAACTGTACTCTGGGGCCAAATGACTGACTCTCAGCCGGTGTGAGGCAGGTCGCTCAGAACAGCGGTCAGACATACAGGCTTTATGGTCTGGTAGGCCTGGGCTTAAATTCTGGCTTCCGCTCATCCTTGCTGAGTGACTTTCCACAAGTTGCTTGACATTTCTTAACCTCGGTCGTCTTATCTAAAAATGAGTGTAATAGCTTGGGTGGCTCGGCTTGGATGGCTTAGTCAGTTAAGCGTCTGACTCTTGATTTCCGCTCAGGTCTTGATCTCAGGGTTGTGGGATTGAGCTCTGCATTAGGCTGCATATTGGGTATGGTACCTGCTTAAGATTCTCTTCTCCCTCCCTCTGCCTCTTCCCCTGCATGCACTGTCTCTTAAAAAAAAAAAAAAAAAAAGTGAGCATCATAACAGCACCTGCCTAATATATTGGGTTGTATAAAGATTCATGTGAAGCACTTAGTTTCAGGACCTGCTGTGGAGTAAGGCTTAGTACATTTTGATGTTATTATATGTATTATGGTTATTTATTGGCCTCTCTCTGTCTTTTTTTTTTTTAAAGATTTATTTATTTATTTATTTATCTGAGAGAGAGAATGAGAGAGAGAGAGAGAGCATGAGAGGGGAGAGGTCAGAGGAGGGAGCCCGATGCTGGGACTTGATCCCAGGACGCCAGGATTATGACCCAAGCCGAAGGCAGTTGCTTAACCAACTGAGCCACCCAGTGCCCCATCTCTGTGTCTCTTGATAAACTCAGAGCTCTTTGCTGCTTATCCTTACATCCTCTGTGCTTAGGAGAGTACCTGACACATTATAGGTGTTGAGTAAGTCGGTTGAATTTTCTTATAGCTGGTATTAACCAGCTAGTTAAGGTGATGGCTGATGAGGACTTAGGATCTGACTTTCTCATTACAATATTACTTTCTAAAAGATTTTGCTGGAAAAAGACCTTCTAATGAAAGGCTGCAGTATGGAGGGATGGGCCCTTGCTGTGTCCCCTTACAGGAAACAGTGAGATGCCCCCCCTCAGGACCCCATTGTGCATGAGACTGCCTGGGCTGGGCTTGGTGCTGAGAGCACCCCATTTAACAGGCCCCATAAAATCAAATCCCTCAAGAGACCTTGGCGGTCACTTAGACCTCCTTTATTTTGCAAACGAGGAAACCGGAGGCAAAGAGAGATCAAAATTCATGATTCATAACTTTCAGACCAGTGCTCTTCACTCCGAATTCCCATTAGCTACCTTTGGAATGTGCGGACATATTCAGAGGCTAGCCTTTTCTAGTAAAACGGGGGAAAAATAGGAGAGAAAATATTATCAGTAGAAGTCTAGTCTTATTAAACTACCTTTCTAAATCACAATCTAACAAGAACGCTTCAAGCCAAATAAAGGAAGCTCGAAATACTCCTTTTCACTGGAGAATATAATTTTGCTTCAGCCACAATTTAAATTGATTTAGTTCTGAGCACCAGCACTTAAAGTGTGGAGTGGATTCTATTTTCGCCATGATACTTGTTCTGACAGTGATGCATTTCAGTTGACATAGTTGAAATCCTCATGTAATAAATCTCTGCCTGAAAATTAATCATGTTTATAATATTCTGAGAATTAATAACACCCATTGCTCAAATCATTAACTTAAAAAAAGGAGCTTCCAAAATCTGTTCTCGGCAGTGAGGGACCACGAATAAATGAACGTTTGATAAAATAATCCAAGTAGCAGTTTAACAAGCGTAAACTTGAATGTGGCCGCAATAACACAGAACTATTGTTTAAAGGTTGGCAGAGGCTGATGAGGTTCTTACGTCAGTTACGAAGCAGGCATCCACATGCATAATGAACTGCTCTCTGAATTATTAATGTGTTGCTTATTTAGCCTCATCCGTCTAGAAGATAATGTATCCTAACTCTAATGAGTGATTGGTTTTGTACATAATTACAGTAGCAGCAGTAGCGGGGAAATGTGTTTCTTCAAAGAAGGAGTTCTAAAAATAAAGTCATCACATAAACTCCGTTGTTGTGGCATTCTATCAAAATCAAACCCGAAGCATTTGAGAATTCATAATAAATTACAGGAGACAGAATCATTATTAACATCATAATTTAACACAAAAGGTTTTACTTAATCATTCATTACAGACCATGTGCTGTTAAAATGCTTGTAAATGGCTTGTGTTGTTTTAAGATGTTTGCAAATAGGGTTCCCTTTGGCCACTCACCCACCTGTGGTGTGGAGGGGCCACGGAGGAAGAGGAGGAGTAGGAACCATTGGAAAGGGTAGTGCTTTGTCCTCATTCTGACAGGATGTTAATTAAAAGTTAAAAATGTCGCTAGGTAGCACCTTTTCTTTTCTCAAACATGCATGTCTGGGACCCCTCCGACCTGGTTTCTGACTTCAGTTGGGTAATCGTGGAGGACACTAGAGCAGAAGCCCATGCACCTGGCGCGACTGGCTTGAGATGACAGTTTTTTGCCACCTGTTTCTGATTTGGGACAACAGCTCTTTGTAGAGCCCAGAAGAGTCTTTGCTTCCCCCCTGCATAGCTGATTATTTAAAGGAATAGGCTCAAAGCGGAAGCATTTCGTAGGCTTGGTCTTGAATGCGCCCTTTTTATCATTGTGGGTACATTGGTGCCTTTCCTTTTTCTTCAGTCTTCAAAGGGGGCTGTCAGCTGACTGATTATAAACCTGATGGCATCACAGCCTCTTCGCACTTGTTCAGGAAGCTTCAGTTGTGTTGTAAATTGCATCGTATGTGCAAGCATGGCTGCTTCTTTTAAAAATGGCCTATCCCGTGTGTACGCATACATGGGAACGCACGCACGCACACATGCACAGTGGCACCGGGCCGAGAACATCCATCTATCTGTCTAAAACCACAAGCACTTCCAATTTATCCGTACATCAGAAAACCTGCATAGCCTTTCTTCAGTGATTGTAGAGACATTTGAATTATTGAAGATCATAATGCTTCCCTCTTGAGTGTAGGCAATTCCTAGAAGTGTTTAACACTCTTGATCACAGGAGAATTCCCGTATATTGCCTGTAGCTAGGATTGAAACCTATAGGCAAGATGGGGAAAATGGGAGAGTGCTTCTAATTCAGAGTACCACTTCTGCTCACAGCCTTCTGAAGCAACATACTTAAATGTGGCAAATTGTCTTGGAAAGTCTTGAATTGAATACTAACTCAGCTTCCAGCTTCCTTTTAGAAATGGCATGGAGTTAGGTTTGTTAAGCCACAAGGCTCAAGTTTTACTGCTGTCCCTCCATCCAGTGTTGAACTTAGGGTCCTGTCCCTTTAGTGAGGATGGGGGCCACAGGTGGAGTTGGACCTGGTTGATTCTCAGTGAGGTCCTGGGACCTATTCTCCCCATTCCAACTCTGCCTCTCTCTCTCTCACTTTCTCTCTCTCTCTTTCGCTTTAAAAGGTTTATTTATTTGAGAGAGAGAGCGAAAGCACGTGATCAGGGGAAGGGGCAGAGGGAAAGGGAGAGAGAATCTTAACTAGGCTCCAGGCCTAGCACAGAGCTCGATGTGGGGCTCAATCTCACAACCCTGAGATCATGACATGAGTGGAAATCAAGAGTCAGACACTTAACTGACTGAGCCACCCAGGTGCCCTCCCCCCTTTTTTAAAGATTTATTTATTTATTAGAGAGAGAGAACCTGCAAGCAGGGGGAGGGGCAATGGGAGCAAGAGACCAACTCTGCTTCTCAATAAGCAAAGAGATCAAGGGGATTCCTTTGAGCAAGGGTACCTCATAGGACAAGTGGATTGAGGAGAAGGAGGCTGCTGTCTGAACCCCCCCCCCCCAGATATCTGGCACTCTCTCCAGGCTGCCTTCCAAATGGGTGCAGAGTTCCTGCCATGGAAGGTGACCCTGGGTTGATGAGAGTCAAACAAGGGTTCCTTAAATCCAGAGGTCTCTCCTGGACCCAAAGAGGCTCAGCAGAGAGGCAGGAGATACTGCTCTGGACACTAGTTTATGTCCTATTAGCCATTGAAATTCCTCTTTTATCTGTTTGATATATTAACATCTCAAGTAGATGTTCATTCGCCAAAAGGGTGTGAAGCCCACTGTAGGAGAGGTGGAAGAAACCTTCTGGCAGCAGTCAGAGGAGCTCTAGCCAGAGCCCCCTTCTTCCTCCATATTCCATGTACATGAAGGACCATCTGGTCAACTTGACCCTTGTTTTCCCTTCCCAAAACCAGTCCAGCCCACTGTCTCCATGGAGATTTGTACTTTGTTGCCCTGGGTTCTAAGGTTGGTAAACCTCACCAACCCCAAGACTGTTGGCTCCAGCCACCCTAGCAGTGGGGCTAGTGATGAGATGGGAGGTTGGGGCCGTAGAAAGTGGCAGATCATGAAGGCCCTTGTTAACCCAGCTGGGAAGTTGGGATTTTCCTGAAGATGACAAGAATCATTTCAAAATCATAAGTAGGGGAGCGGCATGCTCAGATCTGCTTTTCACCTTGACCATCTTGATTGTGTGGTTAGGCTGAGGGGAGGGTCAGGAGGCAGGGAATCTTAGTGAGGAGCAAAACTAAGGTAGTATCTCTGTGGAGGGGGAGGAGGGATCAGAGTCAAAGCTAGCATCAGCATGAGCTGGTGTTGACTGGTTGTGGGGGTAGAGGTGTCCCATCAACCTCTGGCAGGACCCACCATGAGGAAGTATGGGGGAGGAGAGATGAGGAATGTGGTTTGAGACAGCTTGACCTTGAGGACTCTAGAGGAGTTCTGTAGAATGATGGATCTGGGAGTGGAGCTCAAAAACAAGATTGGAGCTAGAAAAATATGGCTTTTGTCAGAAGTTGCTGGTAGTCAAAGAACTTGTCCAGGGCTGCAAGATGAGAAGAGATGGAGGGAAATGTCCCAATAGACCCACCCTTGGAAAAACCCATACTCTTTCATCCTTCCAACATGGTGCCTTCCCTTTCTGGAATGCTCTCTCCCCTTTCCTTTGGCCAATACACTCTACTCCAGAAACCTGTTTTGGAGAGGCTAAGTGACTTTCCTGAGGTTCTTTCTTCTCTCTATACTCAAAAAGCTGGGCACATAGCCAGAGCTCAGGAAGCGGCGATGGAGTGTTGCTGAACACCATGGGGAATCAAGAAGCATCTGTTGCTTACCGACACCGAGAGGGCTTTAAGGCAGCTCATTTTCTTCTCTTTCTTAGGAACAAAGGGCACTTTCAGGGTGCTCAGACTGCAATCCAGATGGCCGTTGGTCAGGTATAAGGTGAGCTGAGTCAGGGCCAGCTGGTCACTGTATGAGAGGCTGAGGCCTGTTGCCCACACCTGATTAAAACAGGAGGCACAAAAGTGAAGGTAAGATAACTCCAAGGTAGAAGGTAAGAAAGCTCCAACCCCCTCGCTAACCAGCCCAAACCATGTCAGACCCAACCAAACCAGTGCACACATGACTGAGTGGAGTAGGTGTTTTTGCTTTTTCCTTTTTCCTTCAACTGAAGGACGGAGCCTCTAGTCTGATTCTAATTAGAAGACTGAACATTCTTGCAGGAAGTTACAAAAATTAAAACACCCAGCCAAGGTAATCTGTGGAGATGCACTGTTCCAGGCTTATGGGGACTTTGATTCTCCCAGCTGTTTTGCCATTTTTAGGAGAAGGAAGATGACAGTGTCTCGACCCAGCCAGTCCTTATCCTGTATGAGTTCCCTAGTTGTGCAGTGTTTTCTGTTGAGAAAAATTGACTGGACAGAAGCTTCAGATGATGGGGAACTAAAGAGGAGTAGACAGAGGGAATGAAAGAGGGAGTGAATAGGAAAAAAGGGCAGTTTGCTCTGATTTCAGAAAAAGCAGTGCTAAGAAATCTTACGATGAAACTTTAGGGAAACTCATGATTGGCCTGTAAGTCTTAGCATTACCCCCATTTGTCACGAGTGTGGGAAAGTCATTTTGCCACCCCACGGTGCCACAGTATCCTCAACTGGGAAATGAGAACTGTGAGAACACCCACCCTAGCTGAACAGCAGGGCTATTAGAAGAATACTATGATGCAATAAAAATTAAAAGGCTTTGAAAAATAGACACATATGAGCAAGAACTTACTGTAAGCCACTCGCTAAGTAAGTCCATTAATTCCTTTGACAGATATTTACTGAGCATCTACTATAAACTGGGGATGGCAGAAGTGGGTCATGTTCTACCTCTCCCCTCTCCTGAGGCAGACCATCATCCTTAACTGCCCGGGACCACCCATCCCCACACTGAATACGGAAGCACCCCCAGCATCATCCTCAGTTCAATGCTCAAGGCTAGTGAAGGCAAGTTCAAGGCGATTGTGCTAGTTACTGGAGAGTCAAAGGTAGATGGGCACAGGTGCTGGCATCCAGGAGGGCCAGACAGATGCATACATGTTCAGTCATTTACAACACAGTGTAATACGTGATATAATAAAGGGATGGAACAAAGTACTACCGAGTCCGAAAGAACAAACTCAGTTTGTCTAGCAAAGTCAGGGCTCCATCACGGAGGAGGTGACATCTGAGCTTTGACAAGCAACACAAATGTGACTGGCTTCCATGTATCAAGTACCTGCCAAGTGCCAGGTGCTTCCCAGACATCTCAGATCTTTACAATAACATAAAAAATAACAGTCTCATGTCATAGATGAAAAAAAAACACAGCATCACAGAGATACCTAAGGCCACACAGCCAAGAAGTGGCAGTGCTGGGATTTGAATCCTGTTCTTTCTGGCTCCAAGTCCACCCATTTCCCATTCCCTGCTGGCGGAGATGGCACTGATCTGGGCCCAGCCATTCCGCAACTGCACCAGTTTCCCAGTCACATTAAAAGCTAAAGTTGCAGAGGCTGAAAACATGCCCTTGTTTACTATAATGCATGCCATGAAAGTGTCTTGTGGAGAAAACATGAAGTATTGTATTTCTGGAGTATGCTGTAATTAGCAGTAACACATTTTCACTGTAGGAAGTTGGAAACAAACAGATTTTCATGAAGACTTGATTAAACATTTTTTCCTCTTAGAAGGCCTCCATGTGCCCCACACACCAACTCTGTATGTTAAAATACATAGTACATCTGCCCTAGAGTGGACTCCTCTCAAACAAATCTAGCAGTGAGTGACTTGAGTAAGCATTGAATGTAAATGGCATCATTACAAGGATATTAAGAGGTCAAGCTGTCAAGGCCCCTTGCTAAACTGAAGCTAATTTCAGGAGTCATATTCACACAGTAATGCCCTTTTATAATAGCAAATAAATCACATTTGCAACAATTGTTAAAAACTAACTGCCAAGTATCTGTTGCAGTTGTAAATATCCTATTTGTCAACTTAAGTATTTCCTGCTGTACGGCAGAAAATGCAAATCAGATGGGCACAGCTACTTTCTCTTAATAGGAGAAAGTAAACTTGCTGTTCTTGCATGTCAGGCATTTTTTTTCCCCCAGAGCTTCTCTTTTGATGTTTTCACGTCCTTGATTAAAGGGAAGTGTATATAGCCAACAGTATAAATATTTGTGTTAATATTATGAATGTTTTGGTCATAAGGATTTTTAAAAACTTAATTCACAGTATAGTTCACATGCATTGTTACATTGGCCTCCAGGGTACAGTGTAGTGATTTAGAGCCTCCATCCATCGCCTGGTGCTCGTCATGACACGTGTACTTGTGGTGCTCAGGATTTTAACGAGAAGGCAGCACAGTGCAGGGGGAGAATGAGAACCAAGGAGTCAGCCTAACTCTGGCCCTCGCAAAGAGTGTACATTTGACCAAGGTGTGTAAACTCCTTCAAAATCAGCGTCCTTGAGTGCAAAAGGAGCAAATGATAATACCTGCCACACAGGGCTTTGAAAACAAAATAAATGCACCTAACATTGCCTTACAAATGATAAAGTTCAGTACAAATGTTAATTTTAATGACTAAGCATTTCCTTGAAGGGTAGGATCTTAGGAGACACATTTTTAGTAGCCTGTGTGGGTATTAGATTGCCCCATTTAATAATTGTTTTCCCCATTTATGATCGTTGTGCTCAGCCTCGCAACAGCTCAGCCCAGAGAGTGGTTAGATTTGGGCAAGGTTGGTATTACTCCGTCTCCATTTGACCAATGAGGATGCTGAGATCAGAAAGTGACTTCATGGTTTGCTTAAGATCATAGAACACGGGCGAGAATTCTGTTCTTTCTAGAGCGCCAGCACTTTTGCTTCCCTAGACTGCCCTAAACGCTCTGTTCACAAAAGAAATAGTAGAACAAATTTCATTAAGCCCTTTCCTCAACAGCAGGCTTGCCTGAATTGCTCAGATAATTGTTCTGTTCTCCATCTGGTTTTTCCATTGAAGACACCGCCTGAGGCATGCTTGTTTTGTGTACAAGGGTTCCTGTCTCCCCCTCTAGTCTGTCAGCCCTTTAGGGGAAGCTGCTGAGTCTTTGTCTTCCCCCAGCATCCCATGTCTGGGGCAGGGCTAGACTCACAGCAGGGCACATCAGCACCTCTGATGTGTCATTGTGAACTCCACTCCAACTTTTAAGGAACAGGATCTAGGTGGGCCTCTAGAATCTGGTTTCAGATTGCACTGTAGGAAATACACGGTGAGCATCTCCTCTGTGCCAGCCTCATGCTTTCCCACTTACCTCATTTAATCCTATTCTTTTTTTTTTTTTATTTAATCCTATTCTTGATTTTGGATTTCACTCTTAACTTCAGGAACCTAATCTCTGCACTGAATACTCCCTCACAGTTTAGATGAGCAGGGATGGCAGCCTGTACAAAAGCACTGTGAGTGGGGACGGAGAGAAGTGGATGGATTTTTAAGTGTTCAGAAGTGCCTTTGACGTGACTTGCAGGACTTCTAATGACTAGCTTGACAGGTTAATTGATTAGCTATGATGGTAAGGGAAAGACAACACTGAAGGTTAGTACTGGAAAGACCCTTAAAAATCATCTAATACAATCAGTTTACTTTATAAATGGAGCGAAGTGGTTTGCCCTCGGTTACAGAGCAGGGTGTCAAAGGTGTGGGATGAGCAAACAAGATGGCTCAGCTCCCAGTCATAAATCACTAGTTGATGATTGTTTGACTTACTGCTGGTGTAAAGATCACTTTGTTAAAAATAAGTAGAATGCTAGAGACATTTGCATCAAGGCCTTAAAAAGAATATGCAACGAAAATATTCATCTTAGCATTTCTTGTAAGATCGAATAATTGCAGGTGTCTGACATTTGGGTATTGATTAAAAAGATTCTGACACATCCAAGTGATGGGATAGTCTATGATGTCATCACAAAAGAACAATTGTGAATAACTTTTGACGGCATAGGAAGATACACAAAAACAGCAAGGATATAAAGTCAGAAAGGCAACTTGACTTCAGCTTTGCAAAAATCATGTTATACATAGAGGAGACTAGGTGAGACTGACAAAATGTTAACAGCCAATGGTGAATATTAGCAGAAATATTAGCAGTAAGTGCAGTTATATCTAGACTTTCATGTGTTTTCTGGAATGTACTATCTGATATGGTAGCCACTAGCCACTTGTGGCTATTGAGTTCTTAAAATGTGGTTGGTTCAGGAACACCTGGGTAGCCCAGTTAGTGAAGTGTCTGCCTTTGACTCAGGTTGTGATCCTGGGGTCCTGGGATCAAACCCCACCTAGGGCTCCCTGCTCAGTGGGGAGTCTGCTTCTCCCTCTCCCTCTGACTCTCCTCCTGCTCACTCACTCTCTCTTGAATGTGTGCACTCTCTCTTTCTCGAATAAATAAATAAAATCTTTTTTAAAAAATGTGGCTGGTGTAAGTAGAGATGGGATCTAAATGTAAAATACCAGATTTTGAAGACTGAGCAGGTAAGAAAGAACACTTTAAAATATCTCATCAGTAATATTTTATACTGATTGTATGTTGAAATGATAACTCTCTGGTTATGTGGGGTTACATAAAACACATTATTAAGAATATGTTCATCTATTTTTTTTGTTATACTTTTAAACAGCGCTATTAGAAAATGAAAAATTACACGGGGCTTACATTCTATTTCTATTGGATTGATTGCAAAAAAGCCCATTTTAAGCTCAGCAAGAGACAGGGCCAGTAGAGGTGTGGCGGGGGAGTACTGCAGAGGCCCCAGCTTTCTCCTGCTCTGACAGACCCTGCACTGGATGCGGCTGCATCAGGAGGCCTGGGACAAAGCGGGCAGAACACAGGGCAGAAGGCAATCCAGAAACCATGACAACCTCATCGACCTTTAAACAAGCATGTGAGAAGCAGAAAACAGGATCAGGCAGCGGCAAGCTTGCCCACAATTGTCGCCTTCCCA